TATGTAGATATACGTAACGAGGCATAATTCATCTCGCTTGCATTATGTAGATATACGTAACGAGGCATAATTCATCTCGCTTGCATTATGTAGATATACGTAACGAGGCATAATTCATCTCGCTTGCATTATGTAGATATACGTAACGAGGCATAATTCATCTCGCTTGCATTATGTAGATATACGTAACGAGGCATAATTCATCTCGTTTGCATTATGTAGATATACGTAACGAGGCATAATTCATCTCGCTTGCATTATGTAGATATACGTAACGAGGCATAATTCATCTCGCTTGCATTATGTAAATATACGTAACGAGGTATAATTCATCTCGCTTGCATTATGTAAATATACGTAACGAGGCATAATTCATCTCGCTTGCATTATGTAGATATACGTAACGAGGCATAATTCATCTCGCTTGCATTATGTAGATATACGTAACGAGGCATAATTCATCTCGCTTGCATTATGTAGATATACGTAACGAGGCATAATTCATCTCGCTTGCATTATGTAGATATACGTAACGAGGCATAATTCATCTCGCTTGCATTATGTAGATATACGTAACGAGGCATAATTCATCTCGCTTGCATTATGTAGATATACGTAACGAGGCATAATTCATCTCGCTTGCATTATGTAGATATACGTAACGAGGCATAATTCATCTCGCTTGCATTATGTAGATATACGTAACGAGGCATAATTCATCTCGCTTGCATTATGTAGATATACGTAACGAGGCATAATTCATCTCGCTTGCATTATGTAGATATACGTAACGAGGCATAATTCATCTCGCTTGCATTATGTAGATATACGTAACGAGGCATAATTCATCTCGCTTGCATTATGTAGATATACGTAACGAGGCATAATTCATCTCGCTTGCATTATGTAGATATACGTAACGAGGCATAATTCATCTCGCTTGCATTATGTAGATATACGTAACGAGGCATAATTCATCTCGCTTGCATTATGTAGATATACGTAACGAGGCATAATTCATCTCGCTTGCATTATGTAGATATACGTAACGAGGCATAATTCATCTCGCTTGCATTATGTAGATATACGTAACGAGGCATAATTCATCTCGCTTGCATTATGTAGATATACGTAACGAGGCATAATTCATCTCGCTTGCATTATGTAGATATACGTAACGAGGCATAATTCATCTCGCTTGCATTATGTAGATATACGTAACGAGGCATAATTCATCTCGCTTGCATTATGTAGATATACGTAACGAGGCATAATTCATCTCGCTTGCATTATGTAGATATACGTAACGAGGCATAATTCATCTCACTTGCATTATGTAGATATACGTAACGAGGCATAATTCATCTCGCTTGTATTATGTAGATATACGTAACGAGGCATAATTCATCTCGCTTGCATCATGTAGATATACGTATCGAGGCATAATTCATCTCGCTTGCATTATGTAGATATACCTAACGAGGCATAATTCATGTCGCTTGCATTATGTAGATACTAGTGTAACCCGTGCCTTCGGCCGGGACTTTACTGTCACAGTTGCAATGTAAAAGTATACAACCGCATTATATAATACTAGCAGGAACCCGTATAACCTTAAAATGGTGTCAAGACTCAAGAGACTAAAATAATTATTACCTATTTAATTCGCGTTTTTGACACCACTCGGGGGTCTAAATTTTGGGCTCTAAAATTCCTATTTCTTGGCCAATTTTTGGGGACACACACAGACACACAGACACACAGACACACACACATTCTGGTGTTATCTTCTCCGCTTGATTTTGGAATTTAAGGAGTGATAGTTAATTATTATTTTGTTAATGATTTACTGGGCGGCGCTCAGCCTGTCATTCCGCC